CTTAACAGCAACCCAATTAACCCTTAAGCTCCAGCTGCGAGCCCTAAGTGCTTTGTCACACAGCCTGAACATTAACTGCTCCCAAATCCACTCCCAAGAAGCCCCACAGGAATTGATTCAAAATGCCCGAAGCCAGCCCTTCCCAAGTCCCTAAGGTTTTAGGGCTAACTGAGATCCTAAATCCTAAAGCCTGTAAACCCTAAAAGCCCAACACTACACCCTTTCTTGCGTCATTGAGGTATTCACGCGGCACCCGGATCAGATTCGGGAGAGCCTCTGGAACTCAATGCAGAGCATACTGGATGCCTGGTTCGCCAAGGACAAAGGCCGGCAGAGGGGCAGCGTGAAATTGAGTTCAGGAATGTTCAGGGTACATAGCATTTTCCCGTAATTCATTATAATATGGGTCACTACAGTGGGATTCCAATTGTAATAATTGTAATGCAGGTCCCTATCTGAGTTTTCCGCATTTTGGGAATAGTAATTTAGGCCAATCCCTACATCCCAAGGAGGCCTTTTGAATCTGCAAAGCTCCCAAGGGATCACCTACCATTATATCGTTTATTGTCTGAAGCTTGCATCTGTTCCCACCGCCCTCCTTTCAGGCGGCGAATATGCAAAGAGATCCAGACACAAGCAGCGCCGACACGGGGCATCTGGGCTTGTAACCAGTTTAGGACTCAGGGTTTGGCCTTCAGGGTCAGGGTTTAGGGTTTAATGTTTAGGGTTTGGGGTTGAGGGCTTCTGGGTGTGACCCCAAGACGGCGACATGATAGCACTCCTTGGGAAATGTGATGGGTGATTGCCTCTCAATATTTCCACATGGGCGTACATTGAGTGACCGTTTGGAGCTACGATGCACTACCTTTTGGCATTCCCACATTTTGGCTTGAGAAGGTTGTAGTTTCCAAAAGTGTAGGGCCCCCAAAAAGAATCCCTAAACCCTAAACCCTAAATCTACGAGTTAAAGGGCATCAGCCGGTGGTGCGAATCAAGCTTGCCAAGGAAGATTTTTCTTTGGTTTGCAAATAATCCCCTCCTCTAGAAATAGCACCCCGCCCCGCAACAAAGGAGCTTCCCAAACAAACACACGAACAATGGGAGGATTTAATATTCGGGTGATGGGGGGCTTCAATGTTAGGGGCGTTAATTATCGCGATCGGCCGACAAACCTACATCAGATTTTGCATGCCCTACATCCCCTGAACTCCGCACCCAAAACCCTAATCTCCCCCAACCCTAAACCCTAGACCCTAAACACTACACCCTAGACCCTAAACCCTAGACCCTAAATCCTAAGCCCTAAACCCTAAACCCCGATCCCCAGACCCTAAACCCTAAACCCTAAAGCCGGCCCCTCAAAGGTGCAGCTGGCTGGGAAGAAGTCTGGAGCGGAGGGCCCAGGCTTCGGCATTCACTGTGCCATGGCTTCGCTTGAGAGGATTGCATGTGAGCTATAGTCCAAGCTCCTAGTATCCCGCTTTATAACCCTAGGGTTTGGGGTGTAGGGTCCAGGGTCTAAACTTATAGTATCCGGTACATAACCCCCTTTATCGAGTTTAGACTAGGGCTCACGTGAGTAGTATTTTATTTGAGGATACTATGATACCCAGTATAGAGGAAGATTTTTTGTCATCCTTTTGGGTATAGTTTCTCAGATAACAAATATAATCTTACTGGGTTCAATCACAAAAAACTGCTCAGGCTTCATCATCAACAACTCTGGTGATATTGCCTCTCGGCTATTTTGCTCGAAATGCCATCTCAGGATACCGGGAGGATCACGGATAGTTCGAAGTTGGGTTGCGCTTTTGACAAGTACCACGCATCTTCGAGAACGTATGGCCCGACATGGAACTGATTATGATAGTTTCCCCTATACCCTAAAGCTTAAACTCTACATAGTAGCTTCCATTTTGATTTCCATTCTTTCCTTCCCTGCTCCTGCTGGCAACCAGCAAGTTAACCCTAAGCCACATGCCCTCCATATATATATATATATGTACCCTACACACCTCCCGTTTTCATCGCGTTTTCCATTTGCTTTTCCATTTTCTACAAGCAACCAGCGAGATACATTCCCTCAGCGGAGCAGTTGCCCCGCAGCAGGAACGCGAGGCCCAACACATAACCTCTAGGCCCCAGAAACCTTATGCCCCTTAAACCTGCTCAACCCCTTTGGGTTTGAGGTCTAGGGCCCTAGATAAGATAGCAACACAGTAGAATAACCCCTTGAAATTTAGGGTCTAAGGCCCTAAGCCGCAAATAAGATAACAACACAACAGTTTCCGTTGCCTTTTCCATTCCGAGGCCTGCGCCCAAGCAACCAGTCCTGGAACCTGCCATCCTCAAACCCAGGGGTCTGATTCAGGGTTTAGGTTTCAGGGGTCATTAGGGATTATATAGGGGATAGAAAGGGTTATTTGGGGTTATAGACGGGTTGTATAGGATCATGCAAGGTTATGTAGGGATCATATACGGTTCTATGAGGTTATTCAGGGCTTTGGGATTTTTACCCAGCAAAAGAGAATCAAATTGGAAAGAAAATGGAATATGAAATGGAACCTAGGGTTACACTTGGAGCACCTAAACGCTAGTTTCTCAAAATGGTATCTTGATATATCAAAAAAAAGCGTGCCGCCCCATATTCCCCCTACAGCCTACACGTTTGGACCCCCTGGGGCCCTCCTTTTTGAGTGGCCCGGTTTAGGGCTAAGGGTTTAGGGTGTATGTTGTGGGTAGGATATGCATAATGTTAATTCCTTTTGTCTATCAGAAGTAAAGCTTGGAAGAACCCAGCAACTTCTGCATTTCCCGCCAACCGCACTTGGAGAACCCAGTCCTCTTTTCAATGTGCAGTTATTGAAGATCACAATCTCGATCACAATGTCAAGCCGTATGCTAAAGAAGGATGCCTTATCAATCTTTCCTTCCGGCTTGTCAAGGCTGTAGCGTAAAACGACCCACACCATACGTCTCCAGCCCCAAAATCCTAAACCTAAGGCCTTAAACCCCAAGGTGCAGACCCTGAGCCCTAACCCCTACCACCAAGTCTTAAATACCAACCTAGCGCTACGAGGACGATTTCTACCAGGTTCAGGAGGAGGCCTGGGGGGTGGGGGTGCGAGGGGTTCTTGGGTTTTTGTGTTTTGTCGGGTTTGTGGTTTAGGAATTTGGGGGAGTTTCCCCAAATTGGCCCAACCCCCCTTACTTCTCCCGAGTCATGATATCCGTTCTTGCAACCTCTACCGCATTTGAGACAGCTGTTGGTTGGAACGCGCCAGTGCAGCCCAGGTAAAGGGATGCAAGTTCAGAGATCTTGGGTTTTAGGGTTTAGGGAGTTAGGGATAAAGGTTTACGGGGTATAGGGTATATGTTAGGTACTCACTAGTACTGGGTGGGGGGTCCACCTAAGGTATGTGGTTTTGAGTCTATGTTCGGGGCTTGAGGCTTGAGTTGCCTGGATGAGGAATCGGGGTTTCAGCTTGGTAGATTGGGCTTGACGATGATGCATGGGAGGCGGGCGTTTGGGGATTATACAGTCAGCAAAAGCCTCTGGGAATTTGGTGCGTCCTGAATCATGTTCCTTCCTTTGTGCTCCGTAGCGGAGCTCTTAGGGTAAGCTGCTTCAATCAGAGACACCCCGCACTAACGGGATTCAAATTTGGAACAGATAGATTGTTAAGCCGTCTATGGGAAAAGGAATGCAGAAACTTAAACCTCCATACGCTTCAAACCCAACAGCTGTTCCTTGCCTGAGACTCAGAGGCCCTACGAAACATCCAGGTGCACACAGCCCCGAACTCTACATCCTCAACCTTAAGCTTAAATTCAGAACCTGCAGGGAAAATCCTAGACTCCATGTGAGCTATAGTCCAAACTCCCTAAAAGGGGTTATATGGGGGATTATATAGGGGATTTCATAGGGGATTATATAGGGTGCTACCTATAGGGGTTACCAAGGGGTATACTCGGAGTTTAGACTAAATCCCATGTGGCCCTCAAATCCCCAACCCAAAGCACGAATTCATGTGCAGGTCAACGCTGGCGGTTCGGCGCAAGTTTTCAAAGCCGTGGAGCTTGCGACCAAGGCGGCCAGATTGAGGGTTTAGGGTGTAGGGTTTAGGGTGTAGGGGTGTAGGGTTTAGGGGTTTGGGGTCTCGGGTGTAGGGTTTCGGGGCTTAGGGTTTAGGCGTGTTGGTGCTTCACGATGTTTCCTGCACATAGTTTTTCAGGCCGCCTCAACCCCAGAAGGCGCGTTTTCTATGAGCTTGATGAACATTACCTTGGCCGCCGGACATTGCTCATATGGAGAAGCCTCAAGATAGGGATCCCCTTGAACACCACAGAAAAGCAGGGTCTTTCTTACGAAGCCCACAACTTCGAGCGGCCTGCTTACAAACAAATCTAAACGCTGCGCCCGAAATCTTCCTCACCCTAAACCCTAAACCCTAAAACCTAAACCCTAAACCCTAAAATCTAAACCCTCAACCCTGAGCCTTCTCTGCCCACCATGGCGGTTCATCAGGCTGTTCGAGCCGTGAAGCGCATCGCCAAGAAAAGTCCACGCCTCGGAGTCATAGGGTGATTAGATTGAGGGTTTAGATTTAGGGTTTAGGGTTTAGGCTTGGGTAGTTCCCAAAATTAGGGTCCCATTTTGGTACCCCTCCGTAGTATGATCTGTAGCCAAAAGGGGCCCAAGGTTTTGAGAACAACCCATAGGTCCTTGGTATTGGCAGAAGCTAGAAATCTTGCACCACCACCAATCAATGGTGAATAGTAACAATGAAAGAATGTCCAAGATTGTGCAGACTTCTGGAGGACTGCTCCCGCGCCGGATGGCCATGTTTAATAAGCCTCAAATCCTAAACCTTAAGCCCTAAACACCAAACCCTACACCATACAACCTAAACGGAACCTTGGTCCAATTCCCAGGTGCCGGAGAGATTGCCCGCGTAATCCAGGAGGTGGCTATCATGAAGACCATCGACCACCCCAACATCATCAAGCTCTTCGACCCTTGGCTTAGAGATGTTTAGGATTTAGGGCTTAAGGCTTAGGGTTTAGTCTTTGGGGCTTGGGGTTTAGCGCTCGAATATCATCAAGTTCTTCGATCCTCATTATACAGAAGCAGGAGGAACGTTGGAACGATCTTCTGGGTTCTAATGTCGTTCGGTTGAAGGCCTCGTTGTAAAGGGCTTGGGAAGGGTGTTAGACGGCCGTCAAGAAACATGCTCCATCCACTGTCCCCACCAAGCTCAGGAAACATTCGAGGACGATGACTACTTGCAACCCGGCTCAAACTGCATCCATGGATGGCAGTTTACCGCGCCAATATGAACTCTAATTTGAATACATATATACACATATGATATTTGGCATGCTCTTCGTTCTGGGATTTCCTTCATCGACAGTAATCCCCTTGCCCTAGTAATAAGCCGCCCCCAATCCCGCTAATGATGCAGGCCTCGAATGTACTACAATTACGTACCAGGGGAGCATGTTTAGAAAGAGGGGGGTGGGGTGTTTAATTTGAAGACCAAAGCCCCACATGAAATGGGAGTTTCCTTTTTCTTTTCCATTCCGTTATATACCCAGACACAATCTTAGTATAACCCCTATATAACACCGATTGGGGAACAGGATTGGTGCTTCAATTCCTTGTGCTTCATTACGAAGATTTCAATGCTTTTCTTCGGCGACCTCCCAAAACGGACCCTGCCCGTTCCGGGAACTTCCCTCCAGGAAACTGACATGGAAACCCAACATGGGCCCCATAAATACTACAGTCTCTTTGAAAGAGGGCCATGCGGGTTTCCATCGCTGAGGTTTAGGGTTTAGGGTGTGGTGCCCTGGACATCAACCATCTTTCACCCGGAGGTACTGGGTCGCGGATGCTGCCCAGAACTCTTGCCCTAAACCTGAACACCAAAGACCCACCGGACCCCAGCCACGCAAACCCTAGACCAATGAGATTCAGGTATGTGATTTCCTAATTCACTTCAGTTATCCCTAACTAACTCTGAGTAGTAGGGTAACCCATGAAAACCACCAGACTGAGGTACTTGGTCCTGGAATACTGCGCTGGCGGCGATGTGCTCGACTATTTACTTTCTGACGGCATCATGGATGAGCTTGCGTCTGTGCCTCAGGCCATGTAGAGGCTTGCAGAAAATAGTAGGAGTTACACATGGGTAAAATAGGGATGATATAAGGGGGTTATATAGTGAATATTACACTATTCATGGACAATCAAATGGAAAAGACAATGCAGCATGACATGGGGACTGGGATTTTATAGGGGTTTATCATGATTGGGGTTTCCGAGAATGAGGGGTCTTGCCAAATAGGGACAGTACATGGGGTCTGTGTTTGGGGCGTGTCAAAAGGACCTTTAAACTTGAGAAATGCCCGTGGGGGGATGTCATCACAAATTGTTTGTCGAGGCACTGTCGTTAGTCAGGGTGCATAGCCCTAAACCTCGGATTCCTTGATCCAACCCTCTTCCGCCTCTTCCTTGGGCTTTAATCGTTTTGCCGGGCGCGATCTTCAGGGGCTGGTGATGCGCTACATGGGCAAGGCTTCCTGATGCAATCTATCATGGAACTCCGTAAGGCTTTAAGAATACAGCTCTGTCGAAAAGCTGGTTAAGGGCACCGTTCAAGTTTTGAGGAGGGTATCTTGACTGTGCGTATCTTCTAGAATGCGCGTCACTGCTTTCTGCCGTGCTAAAACGCCTAAACTTCTACATGCCCTATAATCCCTATAATATGACTCCTATATAATCCCTGTAGTTTCCATGTTCTTTTCCATTATCCCTATACAACCCAGAGGTGCCCGTAATCAACCTGCCATCCCTGAGATTCACAGAGGAAACCCTACCTTTGGATGAAGGACCCGGCGTGCAACAAGATGGGTTGTACTAGGGTAATAATATTGGGTTTACATTAGGGTTGTGTTGGGGTTATATTCGGGTTATATTGGGGTTATATTGGGGTTATATTGGGATTATATTGGGATTATATTGCTACATGGAAGTTCGTATTTCTAACCATGTATGCCAGGTGTAATCCATCCGTGAGGACATCCCCAGAATCTTGGTATGACCTTTGTGATATCCTGCGATCCTAAGCCACCCGAAACCCTAAACCCTAATCCCTAAACCCTAGACCCTAAACCTGAAACCCCTAAAGCCTATAAGCCCCCAAAAACTCTACCCCCAGATTCCACAATCTGGCTTGAGAACTAAGGGCTGCCATGGTCATGCGAGGCATGCTATCTGCGCAGAGGCCCCAGGAAAAACGGGGGCTTAATATAGTATTATAGGGGGGAGTATAGCGGTACTATAGTAATATAGGGGGAATATAGGGATTATATGGGATGATGGAAAGAAAATGGAAACTATCATCTAGGGTTATATAGGGTTTAGGGTGTAGGGTTTAGGGTTTGAAGGTTGAGGGGGTTCGGTTTTCGGGTTGGCGTTAGGGTTAAGGGCTGAGGGCGTGGCTTGAGTTTGAGGCGTTCGGCTTTGGGTTTAGGGCCAATTCCAAGGATTACATGAACTATAGTCTAAACTCCTTAAAGGTGGTTATATAGGGGATTATATAAGGGAGTATTATAGGGGTTATTGAGGGGGATACTAGGAGTGTAGACTAGCTCACATGGGGCTTTAGAAGACTCTGTGCGGAAGCCCTCCTTTCTTCTGTCCCGGAATCCCTAAACCCTAAACCCTAAACCCTAAGCCCTAAACCCTAAACCCTAAACCCTAAACGACCATGAACCTTAGACCCAGACCCCCAAAGCCTAAGCCCTAAATCCTAAACCCTAAACCCAGAACGCTAAACCCTAAATCCTAAACCCTAAAGCCATGATTTTTTTGTTCAAGCGCTAGGGGTTCCTTTTTGTGGGTTCCTAGCATATGGATGATCATGTTTGATGGTATATAAGGGGAACCCAATTTTTGGCAACTCCCAGCTCCTATACTCCAAAGCCTAATCCTAAACCATACACCCTAAGCTCAGAATCCTGAACCCTGGACCTTAAATCCTGCACCCTAAACCTTCAACCCTAAACTCTGAATCCTAAACCTTCAACCCTGAACTCTGAATCCTAAGCCCGAAGCCCTGAACCCTAAACCCGGAATCCTGAACCCTGGCCCCCCCAAAAAAAGATCCTTCAAGCCGAGGCTGAATTACTTGAACGCCAACGGTTATGTCCACCGCGATCTCAAGCTGAGAGCTCAGCCAAGCCTATAGGGTTCAGGGTTACGGTTTAGGGTCTAGGCTTTAGGCTTTAGGTTTCAGGGTTTAGGTTAACATCAGTAGCAGCAAGGAGAACGAATAGGAAAGATAGTGGAAGATGAATTGGGAACTAGGGTTATACAGATGTCTAGGAGATTATACTGCAACTGCTTGGAGACATCCAAATATCACATACATAATTTCAGATGTACCTTAGAAGTATGGATTGACAGCGAGCAGATAGGCATGGTAGCCCAGAATGTGGGCTTTGTAAAGAGAGACTTGGCAGTGTCGTTGCTGAGTGAGTGTTGCTGCTGGCACACGTCAAGGTGGAGTTTCTCAGGGCACGAAGTTTGTTGAGAGGTACCGGCAATAGTATTCGCTTTATGATTTTACAGGGTATATTGAGGACCTTGATTTTGCCACATGCCCATATCTAGCTGGAAGCAGTCTGCTTGCGTTCGAACATTGCCACCGTATTCACGCGCCTGGAAGTTCAGAAACGGCAGTGTCCGTAAACAGGGGACCCGAATAAAGACTCCACAGTATCATAACCCTTATTATAGGGACCTCCAAAAAGGACCGCTAATTCTGGGAAACCCTAGACCCTAAACCCTACATATCCCTATATAACCTCTATATACCCCTATATACCCCTATATACCCCTATATAAACCCTATAAAGCCCCTTTAAAGGGACCCCGAATTTTGGGAAACTCCCAAAATTGTTTTTTCAGTCTTTGGCTGCCTCCACTTTGGAAAGAGGATGTAAGACACATAACTCTGTCTTCTGTATTGAATCACATAGTTAATGATGGTTTCCTACCAGAGTTTAGGGTTTAGGGGCGAGATTTGATGTTCTACTGGATCCACCTTCTGGCCCGGACGTTCGTGCGACGTCAAGGAAGAAGGTCCGCACGAACTTTTGTATCAGCAGAAGTTTCCACGGACCTACTCGCAACCTGGTTGCTGATAGTTTCAAGGCACTGCAGCATTCTTCTCATACCTTTCCCTGCAGAATCGGACTATGATCCTTGTCGCATCCCCACATACCGCCTCCCATAACCTCTGGGCATAGTCTTACCCCCAAACCTCACACTCCAGCCCTAGACCCTAAACCTTAAACTTTAAAATCTAAACCCTAAACCCTAAACCTTGAGCACAACCGAGAAGTACTGAGGCCGGAGAACATCATGTACAAGGCCTGGCTGGCCAAGTCGCGAAGGGTGTATAGGGTTTAGCGTCTAGGTTACTATAGTAAGCAGACCCTTTTATGTTTTTTTCCGCGCATTATGGTGATTTAGTTAAGTTCCTTAACAGCAACCCAGGATTGGCGGGGGATTTGGAATTTGTGTGGTGTTTGGCACATCACATGGCGCATTTAGGGTGTCCAGCAGTGCTATACTAGGGGCCACACTTTTTTGGGGTATAGCAGGGCAACGGAGTTCCCTAAACCCCAAACCCTGAACCTACTGCAGGTTTGTGGCCTGGGTCTAGGAGCAGTAAGGGACTGTTCAGAGTGTTCAGGCTTAATTTGTTTGCATTTATATACCCAAAACCCTAAGCCCTACAGCAGACTGTTTCTATGCATTGGAGAATGTGCAGCAAAAACTCTAAACGTATCACTGTAGTGTAGACCCCCGGTTTATTCATTAGGGGCTCACATTAGGTGTCGCAGCTCGCCCTGCTTTTGAAGCATTCATGGCCCAGGACTTCACCTACTGAGGAAGACCGGGTCTTGACACAACACTGGGTTGCTGTTAAGGAACTTGAACCAAAATACTATAATAAGGAAACCAAATTATTTACAACATACCCATGTTATGGTTACTTAATTTAAGCAGCAACTCCCATAAGGCCTCAAAGTCTACACACCTCAACCCCCCTAGACCTTAGACCGCTGAACCCCAAAAGCCTCCAAAGCCCCAAAACCCTAAACCCTAAATGCCAACCCCCTGAACCATAAAACCCCCAAAGCCTCAAACCTCCTGACACTTACATTAAAGACCCTAAGCGCTTAAACCCCTAAACCCTAAACCCGAAGGCCAACAGGAAAGAGCGCTTGGTGTCCCAGCTGCGATTGGTGGACTTCGGCTACAGCTGCAGAGCACCGGATGCTGCGTGGCGGTGATTGGCTTACTCATGCCTAGTTTGTTTACGGTTCAGGGTTTAGGGTATGAAGTCAAAATTTAGGGTTTAGGGTATGAGGTCAAAAGTCTAGGGACGGGACTACTTTAAGCATCCACACCCCAATATCCAACTCAGCAGGCGTGATTGTTTTTTTCTTGGAGGGTTACGGGTCATGCACTAGGTATATAGGGATAATCATGACATTATTTTACGGTTCGGGGGGTAGAGTATGCAGGAATGGGCAGAGACCATTGCTACCCAAGGTTGAGTTTCTGAGATCGGATCAGTATCAGCCCTCTGTGTTAGGCGAACCCCCCACTCTGTAATAGTGGTATTTTAGCAGTTTCAGAGGACCGGACTTAGTCACCATTATCCCCTATAGTCACTATCACTGGGTGGGGGATCCAGCTAAGCTTTGTGTATCTCTATCAAAGGATGAGAACAGCTCAGCCTTCTCACCTGCAACCTAAACGCCAGAGAAGGCAAGCCTCGAAGCGCCAAACCCTAAACCGTAAACCCTCAAATCCTCAAATCCTCAAACCCTCAAACTCTCAAACCCTGAACCCTGAACCCTCAAACTGTCAAACCCTATACCCTAAACCTTAGACTTTCAACTTGTCAAGCCCAAGGCCTCGAAACAGTTTGACCTCAGCCCTGAACAGCCAATCCTCAACAGCCGCACTGATCCTGCAGCAAGGAGGGCAAGGCCCTGCACACGAAAGTGGGCAGTCCTTACTATGTCGGGAGCTGACATGATCCCTTGCAGGGTTTAGCTGGCCTGTGCTTAGCTGGGAATGTAGGAATGGAAAAGAAAATGACAACTACTATATTAATTTGGGTTATATAGGGACTGCTATAAGCATCCATTCCTTCATTCCTAGCGAACCAAAGGCCAGTTAGGGTTGAAGCTTTGTATTGAACATGTTCAGACAGAACTCCCGCTGGCTTTTGGGGCTTCGGGTTTTACAATTTGGTCGAGCATACAGGTTCCTACTTGCGGTGACCCACGAATGCGTAAGTCCTAAGCTGCACGTTACCGCAGGCCCATCATATTATACTACCCTCCCCAAGCTACCACGGAGCCCCATCTGAGCCCTTTCAGCAGAACTCTGGTCTACCAACTGCCCTTTGCAGGTCCCTTGCTAATGTGGCGGAGGGTAGACTCGTGCATCTTGTGTACCACAAGCCGCTACCATTCCAGAATCACTACTGCAGCAGTGCGGGAGAAGGCCCAGTTCGGCCCGCTGGACCCCAGCGCCCGACACCAAGCATGTAAGCATGGCCTGAGAAGTAACCCTCAGGCTCTGAACCCCAAACCCTGCAACCCGTAGCCCCAGACTCATGCTATTATGTTATACCCAAAGCCATATTCTATTTACCTAAGAGGGGACTATAACCCGAAAACTCTCACGCCCCAACCCCTATGCCCCTGTGATTCAAATCCTGAAGCCATTGATCCCGAAACCCCAAGCCCTCAGGCCTAAACCCTTGGACCCTGAAGCTCTAAAACCAAAGCCCCTTTAGCCAGCGTAGAGCCCGAGCCAACCCTAAACCCTAAACCCTAAACCCTAAACCCCTAAACCCTAAACCCTAAACAAACCCTAACTGCGCCACCGAGGTCGCACCTGAAGTCCTCTCCGGCAGCTACGGCCGAGAGCTTCGCCCCTGGCATCCTTTTGTTTTGCGAGGGCTTCAGGGGGTTTAAGGTTTAGGGTTTAGGGGTTTAGGGGTGTAGGGTTTGGGGGTTTAGGGTTTAGGGTTTCGGGTTATTGTTTTAGGGCTTCCGGGCTGTAGGCTTGTACGCTTTAAGGTCTAGGGTTTACAAGACCTAGTGAAAAGGGCTTAGGGACAAGGGATTGGAGGCTTGTAATACAAACTAGGTGTGCCGGCGACCACTGGTGACCACAACAAATCATGGCATTTGATTGCGTCTGAAGGGACTTTACTGGGAACCCCAAACAGGGCATCCGCAGAATATAGTAGGAATATATGAGGAATATACCTAGCAGGGTCCTGATATTCCATTACATTCCTACTATATTCTTGGGATTCCCTGTTTGGGGTTCCCATTTCCACCTTTCTTCTGTAAGTGTATACACAGACTGTTATCATGAGCTATGGATAGGGGTTGGGAGTTTAGGGTTTAGGGTACTGCTAGCATGGTTCCAGGTTCCAAGTCTTGGACCCTTGGGAAGAGCCTTTGTGCACCTGCCATGCCATGAGGAGTAAACCCTAGACCCTGAACCCTAAACCCCTATATAAGCCCTCTATGACACTATAATATGGTAGTTTACATTTTCTTTTCCATTATCCCCAATATAACCCCAATATACTATAGTAGTTTCCATTTTCTTTTCCATTATCCAGGGGTCCTACCTAACGCCCTCAACCCAGTGGTGCAATTTTTGGCGCCTCCTTTTGTTGGATGCTACCAGATCTCCCAAGGAATTTTCGATCCATGACTGCATTCATCCTTAAACCCTGAAATCGCCCTAAACCCTAATTCGCCTTCAACCATAAACCCTAAATCTATCTCAAACTTCAAACCTTGAATCCAGGCACATCCTCCTTGTAGATTTCAGTGATGCTGGAATCCTTCATGACTTACGTGCAACTTAAGAGCATTTGCACATCTCTAGTCCACCAATGGTATGGGGAACTCACCTCTACAGCTAAATAGACCCACATCTGAAGTGTTCTCGCGAGACCCCGCCCCATGATGTTTTTGGGTCCTTCCAACGGACTGCGGGACCAAGAAGCTAACCCAAAACCTTCTTGGGGAAAAGGTGCGACATGTGGAGCCTTGGGGCACTCTGCTTCATGTTGCTCGCCGGCATCCCTCCCTTCGTCGGAGCCCCTGGGTCTGTCGGGCTGGATCTGTGGTTTCGGGTTCAAAGCTCTGTAGAGAAGGAGGGGTATGTCTTTTATTGAGGATTGCAGGGATTCGCAGGATGAGCCATCTAAGTTGAGCTTAGTTAGGGTGAGATTGTTTGGGCTCGTCTTCACGTTGTAAATAGATACCCGGAAATAATTAAGTGTGTATATATCGTGTAGAAACATTTTCGTGAAGAAGCATCTGCAAATGTAGTGGGATGAATTTCGCCGAAAAGCCAGCATCGAGAAGAGTCTCATGTCTTCCCCAACAACTTGAAGCATGACCCTGAAAACTACACCCGAAACCCTAGACCCTAGACCTGCCCTAAAACCCTAAACCCTAAACCCTCGACCAACGGCTAGACCCCAAAACATCATCAAACCCAATGCCGCCGCCAAGTTTGGAGAAACCGACGCCCAGACTCTCCGCCTGGTGAAAGCCGGAAGGCCGGCGTGATTTGGGTCTTTAGCAAAATTCTGCTGACTTTTTCTGGGGCTTTGTAGGTGATTGCAAGGGGCTTAGATTCGATGAAAGAATGGTCGAGCACGAGGGTTTAGGCGCTAGAGTTTCTACTGCCTCGCGAGCCGCGCTTCAATGCTAGAGTTGTCGTTTTGCGAGTTCTATTGTGTCTGTACGAAAATTTCAGGGGTTGCAGTGCAGTTTCTGCAGGATCTCTTCTTGCGTGCTGCAGTTGATGGTACGTTTGGTTTGGGGGGTTTGGGGATCTGATAGTTGGGAAGCGAATTGGGTTGAAATATGGCCCCACATGCTGAATAGATTGCCATACTGAGAGTACCCACTGCACGGAGAATTGAGATGCTCCAAGTGTTTAAGTAAGGCTCTTGGAGGCATTTGCAGGGCTTTATGGCATTCAGCACCCATGGATCTTAAGGATGGGCCGTATGGGCTGATATTTGCATATCGTCTAAGTAGCAGTTCGCATCATGTAGACATGTACAGAAGCTGTAGAAGTCCCGCGCCACGAAGAACCATGCCGCAACGAGCTTTTTGCCAGCTACGTCTCAAGCCACAGCACTGGACCCGAGACCTCAAGCCTTGCCTCTTGTGAGTGGGCAACGGATGAATAGATCCTGCTAATAGGGTTTAGGTTAGGTGGACCTCCCACCCAGTAATAGTGACTATAGGGGATCATAGGGATTATATTAGGGTCCTCTTATATTCCTATAATATCACTAT